ATTCGTATGTGGACGGGTTAGCTCGCTTACTGCAATGAAGGACAGACTAGACGATAGGCTGAGGGCATTGAGGTACTGCCACACTTTCCTCTACCTCGCAGGGGGGGCGGTTAATATCTAACGCTTGTGCCACGCCTTTAAACCACTATTTCGGCTATATCGACATATCTGAACAATGCGATATTCTTATCTCAAAATTTAGATATGACAGAGATATGAACGTCGATATACCACTGCTAATGCAGCAGCAATTCACCAATCTATAAATAGTTTTGGTAGAGGAAATTTCTGAAAATCAAAGGTCGCATTTAGCACCTACTAACCTCAGGGACTCGGAGCAGCCACGCTAGGAGATGCTCAGCAGTGAAATTGCAGCTCTGCGGAACTGCTTTTTCCCGTTACCAAAACGAACAAAGGCACATGTAAATCTGGAACAGAACGTAAAAACCTACATAAATAATATCGATTCTCGCCACTGGCATTATTTTCGCTGATATTCTTCTGTGCGAACCGTGCGCTTTATTTTGGTAAAAGGTACATAAGCTTTGTCAGAGAAGACCATCATAACATTCTAGAATCTGAGCGTCAAAATACAGCCTGACTACAAGAATTTCCTAACTTCAAATATCTGGACTCTGGGTCGGTCCACAATAAGCAAATGTTACCCCATGGGTTCCATAGATAATAGTGATTTCAAGAAGGCCGATACATAATTTTCGCTTAAAAATACATTTTTGTGTAAAAAACGTCCTATATCTCCAAACATCGCCCCTAATGCCACGCGTTGTTATTATACACCATCGCCGTAAATTGATTTTGGCAATAATAAAAGGGCTATTCAAAAACGCTTCTTTCGCACACGAAAAGTTGTGACGATTTTATCGGGTCGTTCATTAGGTCTGAATGTAATTCGTTCACCTTAGTGGATTCTCTGAGAAAACAATAAAATGCTGCACTGAAAATTAGTAGCATAATATTTTGCTAGAATTATGTGTGCGGAGGCCATCAAGGTTATCGTGCGATGTCGGCCACTAGATGAGCGAGAAAAATCTTTGAACTGCAAAAGTGTCGTATTTATTGACAGCAGTCGGGGTCAGTGTTCAATATGCCATCCTGCGAGGGAAAATGATATCCCCAAAAACTTTTTCTTCGATGGAGCCTACGGACAAACTTCGACTACAGAACACATATATGCCGATATTGTCTATCCATTGGTGGAGGGAGTCACTGAGGGTTATAATGGAACTATTTTTGCTTACGGCCAAACTGGTTGCGGTAAATCGTTCACAATGCAAGGCGTTCCAGAACCCTCGGCAAATAAGGGAATAATTCCGAGGTTTGAATTCAATTTGGCTATATTTTACGCTGGTCATGCCTTGTGTGCTTATACTAACAGTTTTCAATAAATAGATTCAGCTATTTATTTTGCCATCCGGCCTTGTTATTTAATGTGTGAATTGAATTATTCGAGATGTTTATTTAGAATTGTTCTGTACTTTTCTATTATTATATTTAACTTATATATAAAACCTACACTATTCCTATAGGAATATTTCTAAATATGTCATTTAAGTGGCGTTTACTTCTCAAGCAAAAATGGCATCATTGTTTCAAATTATAATTTTATATTTTATTATATTGCCAACGTAGATCTTTCGAACACATATTCGAAACTACTGCAGTGAGCTCAGATGTAAAATTTCTTATCCACGCATCGTACTTGGAAATTTACAATGAAGAAATTCGTGATCTCCTTGGAGTCGGTGGAAAAACAAAATGCGAAATTAAGGAGCATCCAGAAAGAGGAGTGTTTGTCAGCGGTCTATCCATGCACAAAGTGAAAAACGTCAACGATTGTAGGGTGCGTCATTTTAAGCCTTGCCTTTTCCAGTGCATGTACCCTTAAGTCTTATTGATTCAAAATTACTCATATTTTAGACTGCAATTTTTTATAATTATGAGTGAATTACCTTGATCTTAGAAGAATGTTTGTGGTTTGTGGAACATAACATTCAACATGTCCTAGAGTATTAATATACGTCTTTTATAGGCAAAAAACTCAAATAAAGAGCATTTATTTCATGTCACGCGTCCTTTTAGTTGATGTGTTGATAAGCTTGTCTAAAGGGCATGTAATTCAAAACAACTAAGAGTAGTTAATGAAACGTTTGAAATTGGCTTTTAAAGCTTAATTGTCATCTCCAAAACCGGCCGAGGTTAACGTTATGAGTGTGCTATGCTGTTTTACAAATGTTCTAAGATCTACATTTATTTGTTCTCTCGATATTCTGCTCGAACGTTAGTAGTGCGATATAAGATTTTTACGGTTGCTCTGTTATTAAACTAGGTATCCGTCCTTTGTGGTGTTCACTGGCTATTTTTCATCCTAAATTTATCTCAATCTAGAAACTCTATCATGCTCGTGCAATGCGGTCTCATGGTCAATCTGTCTTGTCTATAAATTCACAGGTGTCAATTTATAATTGATGACAGATAGACATAATTCGTGCCAGTCAGCAAGTTAGTTACCTTTGGAAAAACATTTTTGTGTGTTTGACCCTTTTAATTGAAACCCGTTGGGATGTAGTGTTGAACTATGTATGTTAAACTGACATGTAGTATTCGTGCTACACAATAAGTACGTACAATAAGGTATACCAAACTTCATGTGCGATGGTTACTTCTATTGATAATCATTTATCATACACTTCGAATATCCGTTTTTAGTTTTCAGCTGTAATGTGTCGGTGGTTTCTAATATATTGAATTATGCTCACTAGAAAAATGCAAAATATTTACTGGATTTAAGTGAATTAGCCCCGTACATTAAAAGGGTATCTTAACATGAACAAGTGATCAACATAGTAGTCATTTTATGCGGATTTATTACTTCGGTTTTATTATGGATGTCCATGTAAGGACAGTTAATAACGACTACTCCCTCCTGAATTCAGATTTGTTCTAAGAAAGAGGCAATTTTATATCAATACCGCATTTGCTGTTATATGTAAGATATCATGTAGTCTAAATTTTCGAAAAAGCGAATATTCACGGCAATTTATGACCGTTATTCTTAACTTCTTTATTTTTGATCACTTCATTTTATTGGCAATTGTTTACTGATTATTCATTTTTTACTTCTTAAACATTAATATTGTAGTGTATTCTTGCAAAGACATGTTTATGATCGTTAAAACGTTTATTCTTACCTGTTATATATTCATTAACTTACTTGTTTAGAACGCCAGGCTTCCAAAAATATTTTGGGTTTTAATGAATTTTGGACATTTTACAGGCTAAAATCTGACATTGCACCGCTCAATTGCTTTCGAAGTCATAGAGCAGGGGCGTCTACTTGCCCTGGAGCAAATAAAGTATGGAACATATTGTTCTTTTGTGTGCTCAAGACACAGGCTAAGCCCTCTGCAGACAGTGTCGTAGTGATAGCTGTTATAGCGAATTTTCGTTACAAAGCTGGGAACTGGTGCACTAGGTAGGTTATCTCGAAGTTGAATGTTGACCAACGTAAAAGAGAAATAAGCCGGAAATGGCCGCAACAGCACTGTCAAAATATATTTTAATATTTCTAATCTACTGATTGCTAATCTGCATGTTGACGACTGTACTGTGTCTAGACCGAGATGACACGACCAAAAGGAATTTCCTGTCACTGCTCTGTAATCAGGCCTAGCCCGTTTACGTTACTGTCATTATATTCGAGAATCCTCTTGAGACAAACTTTGTTTTCTGTGAAAAGGAACAGATGGACGTAGGTATGAGTAGGGGACCTGTAAAAGACAATCGAAATTAGTTTCACGGCTCCCGGTGAGCCTCATAGCTCAGTTGGCAGAGCGTTGGCTGTACACAAGCCTTCCCTTGTTGGCGTGGGTTCGAATCCCATCGAGGCTGCGAATTGTTCACAATTTGGCCAATTAACTCAAATATCAGTCGAAATTCTTCTCTGTTGCGCCATAAATAGTCAATTTCAAACGCTTTTGAAAGACATTTATGCTTATCGAAGTTAGCCAACTTTCTTTAGATTAATGTATTTGTTCCCAAAAACTGGCTTGCGCATAGTTGTTTGAAGTAACGTATGCAAGATTCCTAGGATTCTTTGATCCCGTTCCACCTATTGTACCTTTCTTTTACCATAAACAGTTTTGATTATATCGGTATATTTAAATGCTTTTCAATTAGAGAAGGTACTCGGGGTCATTTTAACAAAAGACTTATTGACCCGAAAAATCAGCATATCTATAGTTTCTGACTAACCTGACTTGTTCTACTGTGACGTTTATGTTCGTATCAAGAAAATTCAAAGCAAATATTGCTTGTTATTAGAAAGCTTAGAAAAAAAATGCCTTCTCTCTATCTCCGTAACCGACTTTTCTGACATTCCTCAATGACTCAACAAGAAGATATGGGAGCCTAAAAAAGCGTCATCCGGCTGATTAGACGTCGTCAGTCAGCTACGCCCAGACTTATAGGTAGGTAACATGATATTCGAATACGGACTATTTGTTCATTGAGTGCTATTTCCAACACTTTGCCATGAAGTCACAGGTAGGTTGAATTGTAGGTTTCGATTGTGATGAATCAACGTTGTGGGAAGAGAGTTCAACGATTAAATTTCGGTACAGGCTCGTACCGTTGCGTATCGGGGTTCAGTCTAGGGCCCTCGCAGGAAACTACATAGCGTGCAGTAAAAATGCTCAAACTCAGGTTTGATGCACTTGGTTTGGCTGGCTGATAACCATGAATATACCAGAAAGGGAAATTCCCGTCCCCCTCGTCTTTTTTGGTATTGCTTTCAGTGTGTATATTGGTAATTAAAACGAAAATACTCATCTCCGGACATAACCGAGGAGGTAAGACGATCGCAGAAACCACGATTCTATTGTTCTGGAGTTTTGAATGTAGACAAGCTTCCAGCTTCGGAAGCAGGTTACGTACGCAGCCTCATATTATTTATTTTGTATTGTTCGTGTTGGCATGCCACTGGCTTCAAGGTCGCTAACGCGCACTGCAATGCCAGGTCAGCGATTGTTGTCATGACAGCGGAGGTTTTTCTCCCTCCTCTCGCGAAGGGTGGTGTCAGAATGATAGCGGCTATTTCTCACTTTCGCGTTATAAAGCTTTGTTGGCCGCGGTCCTGCTTACTGAGCTGTACCCGTAGAGCTTGTCTGGATGTTAAGAGTCACAGCGTTTGATAGATGTGGTTGTGGACGCCTCTCTGGACGTTTGCTCGCTCCCTTGTTCCATGATTTTGGTGTCTTGGAAATCGAAGGTGGATCCACAAGCTGCGCAATGTTCTGTCACCAACGAGAGCTCAAATATCCTTGGTGTCACTTTTTATGCTTACGTTTGCGAGTCTGTAATGTTTTACCGGTCTCGCCGACGTAATTCATTTCGAAGGAACAGCGATAGATCCGATAGTCGACATTAGCTTTTTCGCCTCGTGACAGAGGAGGTCTTTGACCTCATGACCAGACGTCTAGTTGTTGCCTCGGGACTGTGGGCGGTGCCGATACCTAATAGTTGTTAGGATACTAGCAACTGCGTCAGATACGTTCGCAATATATTGTAACGCCCACCAGGCTTTCGACTTATGGACTATGATCGAGGAATTCAATTAGGATGCCCGCCGATCTATTGGTATTTTAGACCTGCAGGATTTGCCTTAATACGGATTTTTTCTGCGTCTAGGAGAATGGTCATGCATAGATAAAGAACTTCGTATGATACCATTTTCTCGTCATTTACAATTCGCAGTCTTTATCTTGTGTATACTGCAATGAGGTCTTTGGAATTCTTAGTTAACGAAACAATCAGCAGTGTTCTTCAACATACCGTGCGAAGACTGCAGTGTGAATAATGTTGATGAAACGGGTAAAGGCCTCTGCACAGGGCTACACAAACACCAGCTGACCGTCAATCGCGAAGATAAATTGTCACTGGTGTATGGCCAATAGAACAAGGGAGCACTGTTTTGCCTTCGGTGAAACGAAAGTCATCAGCCGATTCAACGCCAAGATGGCCAGACTGATGCTCGAAAGTTGGTCCTCATTAGGCAAAATCAGCAGAAATATTGACTTAAATCCGGCATATCAGGCTCTCCGTACAAGGCTCCAGTCAGTCCAGACGAAGCCAACGGCGTTAGCAAGCGATTTTCAGCTTCGTCAACAGTTGTCGCCAGACCCCGATAAGCCTTCTCCCTTACCCATGCAAACACCCGGAACGCGAACTTTCGCGTTCATTTGAGACTGTGGGTATTACGCTGTCACTCCGCTGAGGCTGGAGAAGTTCACCTAAACTATTCATATCGACCTTCCAAAGGAACCGGAGGAGGTTTATGTTAAACAATAAACTCCAAGTTCACATAGCATTAATTTTCGAAAGCAATTCGAACCTCGCAACTGACGCCGTCAACCACGTATGCTCCTGGAGTAGACGCAGCGCCGGTGGCTCGCGCGGAAATTAGGTTATAGTAAGACAGGCTTGCACGTTTCTATCCGCACTCTGCCTCTCCACACCTACCTTCCTCCAATGGCAAGACAGAATCAAACTGACTAGGGGGCGTATGCAGTGGCCGAAAACTCTAAACAGCCCAGCTACAGGTGTTAGACATCAGTTGAACCATATTCCATATGTGCTAGATAATTGTGTGGTGGGCTAAAATTTCGCATAAACGCCATAAAGACCCCATTGGGAAGAAGCCATTGTAGTCTGACTCTCAGTCGTGAAAAATACCGTTTAACTCTGTCCGTTGTCAGCCTTTTTTATGACTGTAAGCTCATTAAGATGTATTCAAGAGCGTCGTATTTAGCATAGGACAGAATGCACTGATCTGCCGTACAGATC